GGAAATACATGCTAGAAACAAATTCCATGAAATAACAGCAAGCATCGCAAATCTTTACTACAAAAGCAATACAATTAATCAAAATGTCTAGTTTAAATATACATAATACATTTCGTGGAATGGAATGTGTATATATAAATTTTGAAAAATAATCATAAGAGGTGCATACCCTCTGAGGTCTATCAACGTAATTATTACTCTTGCTGGGTAGCATATAGTCTGTGCGCTGTTGCCAAACTTCACTTGTCGTTAGGTAAAACAGAAACTTCTCTCTATGAACTATAAGCTGGAATAGTTGATGATTTATGCAGGGATTTACCGTAAGCCCAACTATAACCCGCTCGAAATCGTGAATAACACAAAGTTCAAAAATGCATAAAAACTCGAAATGAAAAAGAAATATATGAAAAAGTCGGTGGCTCTTGCTGGCTGCCAATGCAATCAATGGCAGTTAAAAAATGGCATACCAGTAAGAGGAGGGAAATCTAATGAAGAGCAACGAATGTAATGAAAAACAGGATAATTATTCAAACACTTTCAGAGTCAAATACAAACACACACACACACACACTGAAAATATTAATTTTTTTTGGGGGAAAATCAACGAGAGCATTGAGAGACGGGCTGGGAAAAAGTTTAGTCACGGAAAACTGCAGTGCAAGGGATGTTGTCGTACTGTTTTCAGGGAAGTTTTTACTACAATTCATGCGAAGCGAGAGATGAGACGGAACGGAACGGGACAGGATGGATAGGAGTGTAGAAGAGAGGATAGGAGAGGAGTCATGGAAATGTGGTGGCAGACGATAAACATATGCGGGACTACATATCCTGTAAGCGGGCCTGTCTGCAGAATGTATGTGTGTGAGTTGTGCGACAGACAAAATAGCTAAAAACTGTCGAAGGTTGTTCAACCAACCACCAGGAGTAAGAGCAACAACAACAACAACAACAACAGCAGCAGCAGCAGCAACAGCCGCCCAGCATCAGCCACGAGCAGAGCAGCTGTTCCGGCGGCTGCTGAAAGAACTGAACAACAACAACAACAACAACGATGTGAAAAGAAATAGTGGATGGTAAAATAAAACTACGTGTCCCGGTAGTACTCAATGTAGTCAATGCTCTGTGTCGCATGCACGGCTTTTGCATTGCTTTTGTTTTCGGTGGTGCAGCGGAAGGAGAGCGAGGGGCAGCGAGAGCGAGAGGAATCACTTAACAGGCAGGCAGGCTGGCAGGCTGGCAGGCAGGCAGCGCAAAGGGGAAGCCTGCAGCATGCAGCAAGCGGCAAGCAGCAGCGTCGATTAACGCCAGGGAATCGCATCGAAATCGCGCGTCAGCGATGCGGGCCTAAGCCGAGCTGGGCAGGGCCATTGGACTCGAGATTAGCAGCAGGATTTGCGCCTGATCAAAGACCAAAAGCCTAGAGCACCACTGCCAAGCTAGTTAAGTGCACGCCAACGAACAGCAGATACCCTTGCTATAATTTAAGTATGTCAATAGCAGATGTGAAATAGAGTAAAGACAAAGCACTTTAGTGCAGCAAGAAATTAGTGGCAAGTGGCAAGGTTTCAACTTCTAAAACTAAGCGTTTTGCAACACTGATCATAGTATAGTTGTAAACTATGATTTCAGAGTAGGTTTTTAGAAATTTTTTAATATATTTTAAAGTAAACTAAACTATGATTTCAAGTATTTACAATTCAACACAATTTTAACTCGTACATCGAGCATTCTTCACAAACTTTATTCATGTCTTAGTTTAAATTTGATTGGAAAGGTAATTGAAATACCTTTCACATCGCATAAAATAAGAAAAGGTTGCATACAGAATAGAATTTAAAGTGATCTCTTCTTTCAACACATTTTGTGTAGATCAACGAGAATACTCCTAGTGTGAAGGGTATAGAAAATAACAGGAACACGAGAGGCGCGCGCTGCACAAAAGCAAGCCTGGCTAGGCTAGTCTGGGCAACAGATAACAACGAAGACGAAGACGACGACGTCGACAACGACGACACCTTGCTAGCCAGAGGCTGTGGCTTAGGCTAAGGCTAAGGCGAAGGCACACAGCCTCTGCCTGTGCTCGTGCCTGTGTCTGGTACTGGTGCTGGTGCTGGTGCCTGACCAGGCCAGATACATTTAGCCAGAGCCCAGAGCTCAGAGAGCAGGCCACAAGTCGTGCAGCAGGAAGCGAGTTTTGTATTCAGGCAAAAGGTTTGTTTTTTTTTTTACACACACCTCTCCTCTCCTCTTCTCTCCACTGTCTCCATCAACCGTCGCACCGTCCGGCTGTCTGTCGCGACTGTCCGTTCTTGGACTTGTCGTCTTCGTCTGCCTGCCTGCTGCTTCAAAAACCAGTTGCAGGTAGTTTAAGTAAGCCCAAGATGTGCGCTGCTCGCTCGGTCATCTTTTGCGGCTCTTTTCGGCTCATGCCGCACAGTTCTGCTTCTCCTTCTTCTTCCTCTTCTCCATCATCCTACTCCTCTTCGTCTTTGCCGTCTTCGACTGCATTTGCAGCAAGCAGCAAGCAGCACAGGCCAAAAAGACGCTATCCAGCACTGGACTCTACGGACTCTGGGTCTGTGTCCAATATTTTTGTTTTGTTGGTCGAAACGAGCGTTTTTTTCATTGCCCATTTCCCCCCCGACTCCCTATTCACTCCACCCTCCGTGCTTGGTTTATGTTTGTTGCCCTGAATGCAGTGAGAAAAATTCGTAGAAGTTTGCCTAGGATTAATTGGTTAAATGATATAAATGATTTCCCAATTCGACGAAATGAATTGTAAACTAATTAATCGGGCCGTTTAAGCAAACGCATTCATTTTATTGACATAACATTCGTTTTGTTAATTAGTTCAACTTCAATTGCATTTGAAACTCTATTGTCAAAAATTAGCATTATGCTGCAGCTAATTTCAAGGCATATTTGTGAGCAATTTTAAGTGCATGCCTTTGCCCTGTTGCCGAACTTCATTAAGCTAGCATATCAAGTGGAAACGACCCCAAAAAAATAATGTCTATGACACTGTCTCGCAGCAATGCTGCTTAACTTCCTGCCACATCTATATGTCAATATATATGCATATATTCATATAGATATATGTAGGTCTGCAGAGGTAGGTCTGCTCACCTGCTGCTGATGCTGTTCCTGTTGCTTACTAGGCGGCACAACGGCACATTGCTCCGTAGTGCCCATAAACTAAAAAACTAGCCTGGCATCTGGCCACACGGCATCTAACAAGTTCGACATTTGGCACTTAAATTTAACGCTTGATTGCATTTACAGTGCGCCATAGCAATATATTAATATAGTTTTTTTTTTTCTCTCTCTGAGCTCCGACTCCGACTCCAACTCCGACTATGACTGCGACTGCGACTGCGAGTGCGACCCAGGCCAGAGACCAAAGACCAGAGCACTGCGAGAACATGATGATTGCTTTCAAAAGCCAATCCAACGTCAATGACTCTATTCTGCGGGTTCTGTTCGTGTGCTTTAAGCCAAGCCGGCTTTTCTCTCAGCTCGTTCTTTAGGGCCTGACTCTGCACTGCTTCTCCTCCTCTCCTCCCCCTCACTCCCACCACTTGTGGCACATTTCGATGTCGTCTTTATGCGCTGCAAAGCTTCCTTGTGCCTACTTTTAAGCACCAACTTCAACTTTACTCCTCCTCTGCCTACTCCTGCTGCTTCTATTTGGCGTCACTTAGCGTGTGCCAGTTTTTCACTGGCTTCTCTTCGCTGTTTACTCAACACAAGCCCCTGTGCCCCTCTGCACACACACACACCCTTCTCACTCCCCTCTCCCTCTCCCTGCTGTGTGCCGGATATGCCGTTTTACACGTGAATGAATATTTGTTGTAAGTTTCTTTATTGTGCGCCGTTGCCAAATTTCAGTCTCAGCTGTCAAAAACAAGTCAAAAATATCAACCGTTAAATCAGGCAAAAGCAAAACTCGTTTAGCAACAATTAATGTAAAATTGTAAAAAATATTTTCATTCGCAGCTAAAATCTGAAATCAAAGGATGCGGAAAAACTTTTGCCCAGCCGCGAGCCAAAAACAGCAACACACAAAAGAACAAAAAAAAAGAGAAGACAGAAAAACAAAGCAGAGACGATGACAGAGGGGGTGAGAGGGAGGGGATGTAGCTGCATATTGGGGGGCGGAGGGTGAGGGGGTTAGCAACATTTTATAGAAAAACCACCCCTCCGTTACGTTACGTTACGTTTGGGACAAAATGCATCAGGCACAAAGGACGAAGGACGAAGGACGACCAACAAGCTGATGTTAATGTTGACGCTGCGACGACAGACCGCACAGTAAAAAAAAAGGGGGTAATAAAAAAAAATAAAAATACAAAACAAAACGAAACGAAACGAAACGGACGCGAGGCCTATGGAGAAGGCACAAGGCATAAAGGACTGCAGCACACAGGCAAAGGTCGCCGCCAGGCAAAAAGGCATTGAACCCAGTTACATGTTTGTTCTAAAGTCTAGTAAGCAGCTACCCAGCAACAATAATATAGCCCCCCCACCCAACACCAACACATGTAAACAAACTAAACAAAAAATAGCAGAAAAGAACTAAGCGAAACATGTTTCAAGTATCAAATATGCAACTAGCTTTTGGTTGGGCTGTTAAGAAGCTGTATATTCAAGAAATTTGAATATATATATATTTATATATATTCTCTAGATGCCTCCTTTTGCCTGTTACATTTACATAATATCCTTAACAGGGGATAATAAAGCACCCCAGCTCGGTGACAATTGAAAAACTATATGGATTACTCAAAACAGTTCAAATCTTGCCAATAAGACTATCAAATCGTTAGACATAATAACAAATTCTTATCGATTCTAGAGATCAGGGAGTTACTCGAGTTATTAGGTTTAGAATATTAAGAATCTTTTGACTTTGTGGGATGCTTTCAAATCAAAAACTAAGCTTCGAAGATTTCTAGATTCTTACTCGAAAAATATAAAGTTTTTACAAACAAAAAACTTACCAGACAACGCCGAATGCACCGTAGCCAATTGGACGATCCGGTTGAACATCCTGTGGCACCGCTGGCGGTTGATAATATGGAGCCGCAGCTGCTAGTATTGCGCTGGCGCCCTGTGGCGCACCACCGGCAGCACCACCCTGTACCAGTGACATCGATACGCTCATCGAGCTACGCGGCGCAGCAGCTGAAGAATTTGGGCAGCTGTTGCTCTTGTTCTTCTCAGCGTTGGTGGTGGTGTTGTTGATGGAATTGGCAGTGGAGGATTTGATGATTTTGGTGGTGCAGTAGCTTGGTGCTGTGTTCTGTTGGTGCTGATGGTGCTGGGGATTAGCTGGCGTTTTATAGCTATAAAGCTTGTTGTTGCTGCTGCTGCTGTTGTTGTTGTTGTTGTTATTGCGGATGTTGGTGGTGTGGCTGGGTGTATTGTTGGTGGTGGTGGTGCTGTTAGTTGGATGGGAGAAATGGTGTTGATTGCTCAATGGATGCCGCTTGGGGCCACTAATGGCCGCCATTCAATAGTTGCCCATTTGTTTGTTGTAATTTTGTTGTTGTTGCTTCGTTTGTTTGTTCAACGCACACAAATTTGTTGTTATCTATTTTTGATTTAACACATTAAAAATGATTTTTATCGAATTTAATTAGTGCACATTTTTCATATTATTTTGAATGATTTCGAAGATTTTTCCGCTGCGACTGGAAGAAAAATGTTAATTTCAATTAGAAAACAAAACATATGCAGAAGAAAGAGGAAGCAGCTGAGGATTCGATTTTTAGGCGCATTTTTTGCAGGCAAAAGGCAAAGGAAAATAAGAAAAGTGCCGTTAGCTGCGACCGGGGCGCGTCCGTGTAAGCAGCATAAAAGTGTGCATATGTGTGTGCGCATGTATGCGTGAGACAGTTAAGCGACAGAGATAGAGAGAGAGAGAGAGAGAGCAAACAAAAATACAGTGCTGTGTGGCGTCTTTTTTTTTTAAGTGTTGTTTACATAAAGAGCAGACAGTTTAATCAACTTGAAAAAACGTAAATTTCTTATTTAATACGTGCACATGTTTTGCAACACTAACAACAACAACAGCAGCAGCAAAAGAGAGAGCGAATGAGAGCAGCGTAGTCGTTGGCGTCGCGCACTTGACACTTTTTGCTAATGCTGCTGCTGCGAAGCTGCCGACTTCGCTGCACGCAGGAGAAACAATGTGAAATTTGTGTAATAAAGGAAAAAGTGCAATTAAATTAAGAAAAAATGTTTGAAAAAATTGCAAATTGCTGTTTGTTGTTATTGTTGTTGTAGTAGCGGCTTACCTTTGAAAAAATGCACAAATTATTGAGCGGCGACGGCGTCGGTTTTGTTTGTGGGATGACAACAACAACGGTGGGGGGGAAGCTGATTGCGACGACTGCGGTGACTCTTCCGCATTTGTATGTGTGTCTGTCTGTCTGCTGGGTGCGTGTGTTTGCTTATCTGTGTGCGTAACTGCGTACGTGTGCGTGTGCGTGTGTGTGTGCAGCGACGGCGACTGCGACGGCGACGACGGAATGAGAGACGTAAATCATATGAAATTTACACAAATCAAAATTCAAAGCGAACTAAAACGCGGCAGCGACTAAAATGCAGCAAGTCTCTCGAATTTGTTGTTGTTGTTGTTATTTGTGGTTGATTGGCGCACACACACATTAATTTCGACACACACACACAGAGAGAGAGAGAGAGGATAGCGAGAGAGCGAGCAAATGAGAGAGACCGACAGCAATCAATTGTATAAAAATTTTTTGTTGTTGTTTTACTTGTGCATTTGTCACGTTTTTGGGGGCGGGTTGTAGTGGGGCTCAATATTATTTTTTTAATAACAATTTATCACACACACTAGCCCGAAGTTTGGTAGGCAGCAGCGAAATGGCTTTTGCGATACATATGTGTGTATGTATTAAATTTTTCCTTGCCTTTTGCATGAAACACACGCGGCGTCTTTCTACCGATCTTATGCGTGTCGTTTATGCGAAAGTCGTGATAGGACTGACAACAACAAAATTTCTGGCAATGTGACCGGGCTTACACGAGCGGTGTGACCCATCGATAAATTTTCGGTATTTTGCCAACAGCTGACTATTAGCAACATGTTGCCTCACTTGTACAAACCAGCAACATGTAGCCAAGTCTGTTAGCGCTGTAACAGCATGTCGTTTAACATAACCAAATAGGTATAGTTACGATTTCGCTTATATTTTTATCAATTTTAAAATTCTCATAATGTGTTTCAATTTCCAATTTTAAAGCGCTTAGTAAATCAATAATACCGCCCGTTCTGTGGATGGATCAATGTTAATTAACTAAATGTTATTTAACATATACAGCTGTTTTCTTCCGGTTCGGTGATTGCTATCGATGCTAAGGATAGTAGCAAGCTAAACATAAATTTCTCATGCTGAACCACGCAGCTAAAATAAATTTACAAGGGCTAATACATTTACAATAAGTCGCCAGAAGTGCAAGTGATCAAGTTTGAAGTGAGTGTAAATTGGGAACACTCGACAAATTTTGTGATCATAACTTGTGAGCTGCGTACCTGGCTGAACGTATTTGAAATTGCAAATTGTAAACAAATCAAAAATGGAAAGGGAGACAGAAACTGTAAAGGAATTCCTCACCGATCTCGTGGTGCCGCATCATCGTTGCAATGTGAACATCATACCCGACCACATAACCATGCTGCACGGGCCCAAAATCAAGAAGCAACACAGTCGCAAGCGACGCACCCACAAATCGAGCACGTTGAATCGCCGCGAATACGCCGAACTGGGACTGAACACGCTACCCACGCGGCAGATGAGATATGAGCAGGCGCTGCCACTGCACCGCCTGTGGCGGGGCTACATGCGTGAGCATCTGGATCTAGAGGAGGGGGACGAGTTGCCGCAGGTGCATGAGAAGCGTTACGAGGAGTTCAGCAGGCAGCTAGTCAAGATGGATCTACATGGCGCCAAGCTGCGTGTAATGCAATCCAAATGCTCCACTCTAGTTGGCCTCAACGGCATCTGTGTCATGGAAACGAAGAACGTACTCAAGCTGCTGGGCGAGGATCACAAGGTGCGCACCGTGCCCAAGAGCGAGTGCGTCTTTGGCATGCACGTGGGCAACATGGAGTTCACTATTTTCGGACAACACTTGAATGTACGGCCAGCGGAGCGCAGCGTCAAGAAAATCAAAGGCTATGTGGAGCCTTTCATGTAGCGTAAATCAACAGAAATGAAAACTAATTGTAATTAATTTTAGTTTAAACTTTTATATAAAAATCATGTTTTAACTGGAAATGAGAAGCTGTCGTTTTTCAATTTTCTGTGATTTCCGCAAATAAGGAATTATAAATGCTTGCTAGCCACAACTGTTGCTTATTGAATGAATGAATTAACGGCAACCGATTGTATAAATTGTAAAACTTTAATTTAAGCTTTTATTTAAAATCGTACACTTAACGCCCGTAGTCGAGAGGGCGACTGGAAATATCGCGCCATACTTTTTACGAATATAATATCGTTTATAAATGTTTATTAGTTGTAGTTGCTGCTGCTGCTGCTGTTGGTTTTGTGTTTCTTGTTGTTTATTTGTGTGGGATTCGATTTACGCAGTCGACTTGGTCATAATGACGACAGCGGAGGGCACCAGGCCCAGTGCTTCCAGCGGCTTCTCATAGTCATCATCGGCAAAGATCTTGCGCGGAAATGTGGTCATCAGGGCAAAGGGTGTCTCAATGCCAGTCTTAACCTGGATGAAGACGCGCACAGCAGACAGCGGCTCCTTCACATTGAACTCGGAGGAGAGCGTAGAGCCATCCTGCAGTCGCACCTGGATGCGTGTCTCGGTGTAATCCCGAGGCGGTGACTTCACACCCGTCGGCGATGTGGCCGTCGTAGTCGAACTGACCGAGGGCACAGCATCCGACAACGCAGCAGCGGGACTGTTCTTCAATTCCCTGCAAGATACTTGTATAAATCAAGGGATTCTTTTTGAGTTTGGACTGACTGATTTACCTGGCTTTCCGAGCCGCCTTGTCAGCCTCGATTTGGGCGCGAACTCGATCGCGTGCAGCTTTCTCCTCCTCCTTTTCGCGCTTGCGCTGATCGACGATCTTTTTCATTTCAACCTCCTCCATGCGGCGGCGTGCCTCTGTCATGTCCTTGCCGGAGCGTATGCGATTGCGTTCACGCTCCAGAGCCTCACTCTTCTCACGTTCCTCGCGCTCAACGCGCTTCTGTTTGAGCTTCTCCTCGATGAGAGCTAGTTGGGCCTTCTTCTCCTCCTCGGTGAGGGCCTTTTTCTCTTCGGTGGACTCGGAGAAGTTAGCGTGACCCGTCTTTGCGGCATGGTATTCCACCTCTGTCTGATCTTTGAGCACCTTGCCGCAATCGTCACATTTCAACGATTTGGCAATGGGATCTTCGCTGGCGCCGCTGCTACTCGGCGCCGAGTCTTCGGTTGCAGTGGCAGTGGATGCTGCTGCTGGTGCAGCGGTGGCACTCACTGCACCTGGTATCTCTTCATCAACGTGGGCCAACAGCCATTCCATGGCCATCTCGACGCCCTTATGATTAGTTACCTTCAAGGCATATTCACTTAAAAATAAAATATAATTAAAAAGCCGGCGAAGAAAGAGAATATTTATTGAAGATGCACTCACACTCTATCTTTGGGAAAACCCATGTCCATCAGTGTTTGTACATCGCTCATTGCTGTCGTCTGTTGATAGGGATGTATTGGTCTCAATAAATACGTAAATTTTTGCAACTATTTTATTTTCCTCAATATTCCCTCTGCAATAATGACACACAAAAACAATGCCTGTTAACTAGTGTTGCACAACGCGTAAGCTTAATGTTCAATCACTATTTCGTATTAATCGATTAATTGTATTTAGCAATTAGACTCATTTCCAATGTATACAATATACAAATCTAGACATAATAATAACCATTGTCAACGCAAAGTATTTATAAATAAACAGAACATTTTTGTAGCATTTCTTTGAATATAAATATCGATACCACATCAGCTGGTCGCATAGCGTCATTTGAACCATTTTGTTTTCTCCTATTCCCTGACAAGATGTCGCATCAAAATAAAATTAAAAAGATGATCATTAAAATCCCTCGGCATCCCTTCATAATTGACCAGAGTAATGTCAACTATCAGGAAAATATCTCGCTACGCAAATGTCGCGTCAATTTGGAGCGCATCAATGGACAACAGGCACCATCGGCTGGTGGAGGAGGAGGACTCTCATTTCCACTAAAAGCGAAGCCAAAACGATGTTGTGTTCGAGTTGCTCGATTACCAAACGTAGAGCGCAACGAGTTATCTGTGACGCCAGCCAGTTCCATTGTCTGCTCAGACTTTGACGATGGTATTTGGCTTACTCTTTGGGTGACAAGGCAGACATTTAATAGTTCTGTATTTGCAGATTCTGCTGCTGAGTAAAAGCTGTAATTGACACGGGACAGAGGATTTCAAGAAGCGTCGATTCCCCGCATTAAATGTATTTAGCTGTTACTTTCAATGTTAAGAAATATATTTTTAATAAATAAATACAGATATTTATTGTGTTTTGAAAGTTGACCCGATGACTATCGATAACAACGTTCGAGCGATAGGTTCATCACTATCCCTTAAATGTCAGGTGGAAAAAAGTTTATTTGTGAAATACTAGTCTAAAATTATTGCTTGTAATAACATCGCCCAGACAGAAAACAAACATGAATTGGCACACGGGCAACATTGCTGAAGCTGTGGCAGAATCCAAGGCCAAAGATGCCGTCTTCGTTGTATACATTACAGGTAATAAACAACGAACGATGAAAATCAATTTTCACCACGTCATGTTCGCCAAATTGGACATTTGTATTTAAATCATAGGTCAGGATGAGATGTCCGCCAATCTGGATAGATTGCTAAATGACTCGCTTATCCACACGAAGCTGCAAACTTCCGACTTTGTGGCCGTCAAAATACAGGGCAATAGTGAAACCTACGTTCAATTCAGTTCGCTATGTGAGTACAGTGAACACTCGATAAGAGTGAAAGACTTATACTTATTTGAAACACATCATTTCAATATATATTATAACATCATTTCAATATATATTATAATCTTTATACATATAAACAATCTAACTGATTGCAGACAAAGTCGTGCCAGTGCCATCAATTTTCTTCATTGGAAAATCTGGAACCCCGCTGGACATTGCTACGGGCATCGTTGCCAGCGTCGAGGAGCTCGTAGCCAAAATCGATAAAGTGCTGCTCTTGGCGGGCAAACGAACAAATCCGGATACCCCAACGAGCAGCGGAGCAGTAGTTAGTAATGAAAGTAGCCGCAGCATTGCTGGGGCAGACAATGAGGATGCACCAACTCAAAAAACAGAGCCGATAAAGACAGTGGATGTGTCGGAATCGGAAGTCACAGATCAGGAATCTGTTCCAGCTGCTGAAGCTGCAGCTAAACCAGTTGTAGTTGCAGTGGAATCAACTGCTTTGCCTGAACCAGCTGCTCGAGTTGCTGTTGTTCCACCAGAGCCAACTGCATCGTCAGTATCAGCGGCAGCCGCTGCCGAGAAGCGTGCAGCGTCCGCAGCAGCTGCTGCCACAGCGCATACAGCAACCAGTGCTGCCACTTCGATGTTGCCCACTCCCATACAAAACATTGCGTTACAAACGCCGCTGGTGCCAACAGCTCTGCCAGGAGAGGCACCGACAACACGTTCGACCGCCGAGGAAGCGGTATTGCAGACTACAGATATACAGAGTCTCGTCGCACAGCGGAGAAAGGAACGCGAGGAGGAGCAAAAGCAACGCGACAAAGAGAACGAGCTGCGACGCCGGCGCGAGGGTCGTGAATCGCAAGCCCAGCAGACGCTCACTCGAGATCAGGAGCTAAAAAAGCTACAAGTGAGTTAAAAACCCCCCCAAAAAAAAGAAGAAATTAAACCCAAAATGAAAAACTCTTTTTCAAACTTCACCAGGAGCGCATTAAGCGTGAACGCCAGCAGGAGCAGCAGACAAGGGAACGGATTCTGGCCCAAATAGCCGCCGATCGTGCGGAGCATGCATCGAATCGAAGATCCTTAACGGCTGACGTGCCAAGCACCACCAGCAACTCAACAGCGACAACAGATTCTGTTAGATCGACAGATTGGTCACACAACGCCGGCACGGAGACGCGTCTGCAAATCCGTCTGCCCGGCGGCACAACACGCACGCAAACCTTTCCCGCCGCGGAGACGCTGTCCACAGTGCGCAAGTTTGTGCTCGATGAGCTGCTCGCCGGTAGCAATATACGCGAATTCACAATGGCCACCAGCTATCCGAGGCGTGAGTTCAAATCGGATGATGAAACGAAAACGTTGAACGAATTGAATTTGGTGCCCAATGCGGTGCTGCTAGTGCTCCACAGTGAGCAAGTCAATCGCGTGGTGCGCAGCCGGAACAGTCTGTTCAACATGTTGACTAGCATAATCTGGGCAATCTTCACACCTGCTGCAATGGCCTTTGACTACATGAATCGCATGGGACTGCAACGTTTGCGACAGCGATTCAACCAGATGATGGGCTGGACAAAACCTGACGAGGACAATCGTCAAGCTCGCGATGATGTGTAAGCTAAATCTTGAAACAATCTGATGCAAATCCGAATTATTATCCCTTTGCTTTGACAGTACCGCACGACGTAATATGGACATGTTTCTATTACGTACGACGCAGAGACCGGGCTTACAACAATCTGCACCACAGAATGTGGCTGGATCTGAATCTGGGTCGCAGCCATCGGGCAAATCAGTGCCGACCGAAGACGCATCCCAGGGCCAGGAAGTGGGGCAGCCCCGTTCCGTTGGATATAAGCCGCCACGTTATGGTGAATCGAATATACGACGATTGGCGGACACCAAGGACGAGGATGAGGATAAGGCTACCTATAATGGCAACTCAACGCAGCAGCAGTAGTAATCCATAATAAACAGTTAAAGCTTTCGATATTTAAAAAAATAACCGTTACATTCACAGCTTCTTTAACTATGATGAAGCCTTAAATTATAAAATACCTAGATACAAAATCCACAATATTCAAATAACATGCACGTATATATATATGTGTATATATATATATATCTTGTGAGTGTGTCGTCTTTTTTTTATTATTATTATAATTCATATTATTATTATTATGGTTTAAACAAGCAAGAATATTATATTATCAGCGGTTTGGTCTAAAGACGCAATATTGTGATAAGATATCAAATGGGCAAAGAGTAAACATTGTTCAATAATTTGTTCTAAATGTAATTGCAAACATTTTTAATTACTTTTCCATTCATAAACACGTTTATGCGGAGTTCCTTCAATGTGATTACAAATACATATATACAAGAATCAAAATGAATTTCCTTCTCTGCCATGCATAGTCACAATTCAGAGCAGCCGTATAAACGCATTCGTCATATATGTATATATATATATATAAATATATACATATGTATATAGTGATTGTGATATGGTGTACCGATCACGTGTGTCTCAGTTTTAATACAATTTAGCCTCGAGTCTGGGGAACAACAAATCAACATTGCAGCTGATGCGCCTTTTTAGTGCCATACAAAATTGGTGAAATTAGTTTTAATTTTAGTTTGAAATAACCTTTTTGTGTGGGACATAACAAATGATTGATTATCTTAATTTCTGTCGAGAGACGGCCCACAAAAAAACAAAAAAAAAAGAACAAAGGAAAAAAAAAAAACAAAAACCAATGACTGATCCCATCTACAATGTGAACCACATCAGAAATTGCAACAGTTTGTAGACGTTGACCAGGCTCAATTTCCAATCCTCTTTGCGTTGCACCGGCGGCACCAGGCTGGGATAATGCACCGGACTGCCAACGTGACAATTGGTGTTCACCGTGCCGCCTGGATACTTAATGGCAACCACATCGACCAGCTTGACGCCATCGCAATCGATCAGCTCCAGCGATTTGTTGAAACAGATGCGTATCTCCGACAAATAGCTAATGCTATGCTTGCGATCGTACAGGCAATGGATGGAGGGATTCTTGCCGAGGCCGCGCACAAGGGCATTGTTCAATACGATGATCGTGTTATCGGAGTCGGGATGTATTCCGGCCGCATCCAGCACATCGGATATCACGTACTTCTGCCTCCACTTCAGGCCCTGTCCAAAGTACTTTAGCTCGTTGTCTAGTTCGGTCAGGACAGCGGCACAGGTGCCATGCTTGAGCCACTCGTGCTTCCACAGGTCGTCCTGCGGCGCATCGCCCTCCAAGTCCAGCCAGTAAGTGTTCAAACGGTCAAGAATCGCTTGCAGTTGATCCGGATCGAATTCAGCCGACTTATTGCAAAAGTTGGGTCCAATTTGACCCCATTTCGTTGGCCAGATGCCGTGTATGGTCCAAAACTCCTTCTTCTGCGGCAGGGTGCATTCATGCGACGGATCCTGCTCCCTCCAGTGGTAACAGGTCGTAACTGGCCATTGCTGTGTGAATATTAAAACATCAAAGCTCTGTGCATCTTTGCCCAAGTCATTCGCATACAGCGAATAATCATCGTCATCATCCTCATCAGAGAAATCAGCGGCGCTTGGTCTTTTCAAAGGCTGCTCGGCGGAGCTGCTTGACTCATCCGAGACGTTGCCCAAAGCTATGCCCGAATCTGATATGTCAAGGGCGCTACAAAATGAAAGAAAATGCCACCTTGTGAATAATTTATTGTGCTCCTTTCTCTATATATAGTTAAGGTGTTGTGTGGGTAGATATGTGGGTAAATGGGGGTAACCTTGAACTTGATGCCTTTACAAGAAAGAGCGCAGCGTACTCGGCTTATCGAAATATCGATTGTGGTTGCTGTTTTGCTCCAACTGTCTTAACTTTTTTAGTTTTTGCTAAGATATATGCCAATTTTGGCCAATGTTTTCTTTTTTGCATTTGTTTTTGTTTTTGTTTCTATTTTTTTCATTGGCACCGCCAACGCAAACAAAAGCGCTGGAAATTTCCCTGCCTGCTGCCCGTCGTTTTGTTCGCCTAAAATGCCTAAATTCAAAAAGCAGAGACTCACCTGAATGGACTCGTTTTTGTCACAACAATGCTGCATAATAAAATCGTAAAAGTAAGTAAATATTGTTGTTGCTTCTGCATAATTGACACTCAAAAAAACGTATCGTAAGCAAAATTTTATGTTGCGATTTTTAGCATTTCTAGATAATGCAAGACGCACACTTTTTGTTTTAAAATACTGAGTAGCACTTGTTATGGCTTTCTACCCAACAATTTTAATTGTAACCCAAAAAATTAGTTGATAAGTTGTTTTATACACTTTTGTTTTTGTTTCTCTTTTTATTTTTGCTATTGCGCTGCTAATGAAGTGCTAACAGCTGTTAAAGGCAACTGTAAATGAAAAAAAGTGCTGTATAATATGAACTATTACCGATAGCTGTATCTACACTACTGCACGATATGATATCGATAAGTTGCGTATATCGTTGCAAGCGGTTCGAATTCAAATTTTAATGCTAAATGGCAGTTATGTTTACTGTGATTAAGTTTCACCTGCTAAATAGGTGTTCAACTAACACATATTTAGTTTGATATATAGTAAAGAATAATTAGATACCTATTCTTCTGATAAAACGACTTTATCGCTATATTAATTAGGAGTAACTGAGTGTTTTTTTACTGATTGCACGTAGACCGGATTTGTAAATACAACGACAGTTTGTCTGCTATGATTTTGTTAGCACAAATCATCCGAGAATAGAAAACAAAAATCTATCTGAGGCTTCTCTCTATATATAGATAAGATGCAATTTTTGGCCTATGGAGTACACACAAAAAAACAAAAGAAAAATGCACACAAACACGCGCCCAAGCGCTTTAATTAGTGACAACGACAATTACACATATTTTGTGCTGGCACAATTGCGCTATTTTATCTATGAAATACAAACATGACATGTAGCCAAACACTAAACGACTTCTGTTGAAAACCCAATGACTACTACAACAACTACAACAACAAGGTAGTAACAAGTCGAACAAGAAGAGCAGCAACTACTATTTTTGCTACTGAAATTAATAGAACCATTGCTAAGCAATTGATTATTGCTTAACTGTACTTTGTACTTTCCACTGATGATCCAACTACCAAGGCTATCCAAGCGGCAGAGAGGGGACTATAGATAAAAATAAAATAAAAAAAAAAAAACCCCATTCGAACCGAGTGGGGGCTCTTAGAAAGCATTTGTCACCACTTATGGCAACTTTAACACTTAGTGTCAGCAATTTTATCAAATTCAATTAGTCCACCCCAGCGATAAAACTCATTTACATGGGCTCAATGAGTGTTATCATACAAACATATACCCTTGTCACCGACTTTATCATAACATTTGTGATTATTTTGTCATGTTTGCTGCGTTCTAACTGAATACATGATTTTTAGACAAGAACAACTGTGGGATCCAATTGGGGGTTGATTTTATGCAGATTTTTATATTGTATACTCGTCGTCGTAGTGGGTTTGTTTGTTTGATGACAAATTAATTTCATAATAACAGCTGCAAACATTTTGTAATCAATTTAGCCCGGCTCAAATTATCAACTATGTACAATCAATTAATGTTTGCTGTTCTCGTTATTGCAATAACATTTTTAATGGCATACTTTTTATGTGGACTTTGTGTGGAATTCGCTAACATATTGCACATGAATTCAGGGCTTTAGTTAAACTCAACCAAATAGCATCATTTAGCTAAAATGCCGACTAGGTAAACTTAAAAAGTGTATAACTTTTTCTTTTTTTTTTTTGCACTCAAATTGACAAAATTATCATTATTTAGCGCAAATAGTCAAAAAATCACCGAGGCAGACGAGAAAAGTTGAGCCATTAATTTAAAAATGCGCCCATTAGAAGCTGCCGCTGCCGCTGCCAGCATTGACGCATAATCAACGCCATCATCATCTTCATTGTATCCGCCATGATGATGCTGCCACTGCTGCTGTCAGCGTCACTGCCACTGTCTCTGCCACAGCCTGTGTCTGTGCAACGCATGCGTTGAGAGAATGCATATGCGAGCGAAAGAGAGAGAGAAAGTTAGAGAGTACGCGAGAATTTTATGGGTGGAGTCAGCATTATATAGAACATATATATGTATATATATATATAGGAAACTGGAGGGTAGGCAGTGCTCCGGTAATTGCCTCTATTTCGACGTACATATCCCGTAGCCAGTCACTTGACGTGCTGCCCTTTTTTGTTGCTTTCTTGACAACGTCGCCGTCGTCGTTGTTGTATTTGTTGCTTTTGTTTTTGTTTTTGTGCAATTGCTGTGTAAATGGCATGAGAATGATAATTGTAGCAATTATAATATTAAATTGGGAGATCATGGCTCACAGGGTTTTCCGTTTCGCTTTTTCCCCCTCTCCAACTCAACAGAGTTTTTATATAGCATACTTTTTTGCTGACTCCAGCTCCATCTCATTCCCTGCCCCTCTCACTCTCTCTCTCTTTCTCTTCGTCGCTCTCCCCTCGCTCTCTCTCTCTCTCTCTCTATTTGTCTCTTCTACTCGTTGTCACTCTCCAGGGCATTTCTTTACTGCTGTGTATTTTGTCGGATTTGTTTGTTAATTAGAATTCTAGCGTTGAAATTAAAATGCTCACTCCACATCACATCACTTGACTCCCCTCACCACACCTCACCTCCTCTTCCCTACCATTCCACTTGTGCACTCTGTGGAATTTAAAAAAAAACAAAAAGAAAAACGATATTTATTTTTTGTAGCATTTGCGAGTAGTTTTTTAGGGCATTTTGAGTGGGTGGAGTTTGGTTTGAGTTTTTGGCTGCCTTCTCTTAATTACTGCAGTTTATTTTCTAAGTGAGACTAATTAACAGGCTATTCGTAGCATTGCGGCACATTTCTGTACGCTTCCTGGCAGCTTTGGAGTGTTTGGGTTTGAGTTTGAATTTAGTTTCACTCTGTGCTACTCTGTGTGAGAGCTTCAACTGGATGTTTGAGTGGCTAACATAGTCAACAATTTCGGCTAGTTAGTTGGTTGATAGCATGCAGAGTGGCCGAGTGAGACACACAAACAACCAGCTGCCATTAAAAACTTTATTCCTTTCAAGTTGTTTTTTTTTTTGTTTTGTTTTGTTTTGTAGCTAAACTTTTTGTGCCCAATTAGTTGTCAAGTTTTTGGATAAACTTTTAACTATCAAATGTGAAACTTGAGAATTAAACGAATTTATTTCTTAGTTATTAAAAAATAAATAGAACAATAAATATTGTCTTTGCAAGTTATAAACTGTCATAAATTTTGAATTAGATCTTAAATTAATTTGGACTCAACCGATATTTTTGCCTCTTTTAATTTACAAGAATAAATAAATTTGGAGTTTTAGTTTTTGCATTATTTTTAAATGGTGTATTTTGTAAACTTTCTTGAGAAGCGAAAATTCATTTGTAAAAAATTGTAGCTTTACAATTCAATATCTTAAATTAATTTATACTAAAATATATTTTTGTTCCTTGCTAATGACTCATTTACATTTCAAATCCATAGGAAATGTTCTTGTTTTGTTATTTTTATCCACTCCGCAATTACATTACCTTTATTTGCGCAAATAAAATTGTTTTGAAAATATTTCACATATACTTTTATGACGCTGACAACCCACACCAGTCATCGGTTTCTTTCTAATGTTCGGCTCTGTTCAGCAATAAGCCACAAATTTACGTTATTAGGGCAACATTAGACGCACTGCTAATTATCAACAATGTCTGCCAAAAGCAACCACAACAAAAAGTGCCCATACAGCATAAAGTATCATAAAGCGAACCCCATCACTTGCTCTGGCTACAAGTAAGATCACACATACACACACACACACACACATGCACACACACACGCACACACACTGAGAGAACTGGGGGCAACCCTCGCACGTTAATGAACGTAAAATTCACTTAATTCCAACTTTAGCCATGAATTAAGCACGACAAATGTTGGTTGCCAGGAGTCGTCGGCCATTGCCTAGTGGGGGTGGTAGTGGGTGGGGTGGTTGGCTGGTTTGGCTGGGTGGTTGTCTTTGGGCGCTTTTGACTGGTTGGCCGTGGCTCGAGCCGGGCATAAATAAAGCGTAAAGACGTGCCGCATTTGCCCGGGTGGTAGGTAGCCGAGTGTCTGAGCCGTGCTACAATAAGTAAATGTGCTTTTATGGCTCTTAATTAAGGCAATGATGGGGTGTTTTAATACGTTTGCCAAATGTTAAATGACAAAGTGGCAGTTGGGCGCGGCACGTTCTCAGCCACGTTGTATGTATGTCTGCCCATTTTGCCATTTGCCATTTGCCATTTGCCTGGCATTAATGAAGCCGCTTTTCTTCATTATTTTTTTGTTTTTGTTTTTGTTTTTTGCCATGTGGGGTTTGGCTTTTTGCAAATTTTCATTTTCATTTTGATGTTTGGACTGTAAAGCGCTTTGCGTTGACTTAATTAAGTAGCTGGAGCAATTGTTATCACACTTTCAAAATTCTATGGCCAAATACAAGTCGAATTATTGCCGTTTTTATGGCTGATTGATTTTTATACACAAATGACTGAAATCTCGGGGCAGGCACTCAATTGTGCTGACTGCTCCTTCTGTCTATGGGTTTTATGTTTTGCAAATGTTTGCCTTGGCAAGTTTATAGCTACATTTGCTGAACAAATAAATGGCGCCATTTGTGGCTTTTTATATAGACTGACCATATATAGTATATGTATGTGTATCTTTTGTGTGTGCAAATCTGTGCGGCTCATAAAAATCCAAATGCGCCATTTGCAGCGCTGGCAAAAATAACATTTTCAACACTTTTTGTTTGATTAATCAAACGTTATGCCAACCAACACACGCATAGCCGCAAAAGGAGGGGCGGCGGCAAGTTAGGGGTAACTGAAAGATACATAAAAATATATTGAACTATATATATATATATATACATATGTATGTAGCACATATATATATCTATAAACTTGTATCCATTTAGTCCAAATTAGTATGCCACGCACGTTTCGCCAAAAAAAAATAACAAAATATATATCCAAACACTGAAAACAAAACAACACAAAAAATACACAAAAGCAAAAACGAAAAACAAAAAAAAAACAAAAAAATGGCGTCAGTTTCAGTTGTTCTTGTTGTTATTGCTGTTATTCAACTCTGTTGAATTTTTTATGTCTGTTTATAAATTCAAAACAAATGCAATTGGTTTATTTCACATCAATAAGCGCGACCAACCAGTCAAATTTGCGCTGC